GCTGCTTTGTGTACAGCCGTTACCGGGGAAACCGCAATATTTCAGCGCTCCTAAAGCGCCACCTCATGGCAGAGAATGAATTTGCATTTCCAATAAGCCTTTCTTGCTGTTTATGGTCAGATCAATGCAAATATCAACTCATGTTTTTACGCAGCAAGCACATAGAGTTGTAAATGAGAAAGAAGTTAATGTGCCTTCTAAAAATCGAAACAATCAAGACAGTAATATTTATACGTTTTAAATTAACAATTTATATGCTTGATTTATCCCTTTTCATAAAAATGGTCTGAAGGCTGAAATGCTGTTGTATAAGATTTTTGTTTTTGTGAAAACCTGCGTCTGAACTGTAAATCATGTAATTTTATGGCTCAGTACTGTATGTTACCACAGACATTGTCCAAACCCACTCATACTGTGTTCATTTTACTTGTGCAGCTCTACATATATATCATTTTTATTTTTTATTTATTATAATTTTTTTTTTTTAAGGTCTTTTTTTATTTGGGCTAATTAAATTAATTTTCGGGCTACCAAAATTTGAAGGGTACCTGCCTGAAGGGCTACCAGGGATTTTGAAATTTTGCGAGCCCTGAGAAGGAATATATGAGTGAACAACTTTTGTGTTTTTGGAGCTTGGCAGTAAAAAAAAAATTTTAAAGAAGAAAAAATAAACTAGAGAGAGTATTATATTTTGGTACAAAAGAGTGAGTAAATCATAAGTTACATTTCAAAATGATCTTTTCCTATAGTAGAAATTTGTTGTTTTAATTAACCCTTCACAAATCTGTGTCTGCGAGTGAAAGTGACTTGACCATACTTTTAAAATTCCAACAGAAACTGTACAATGTCTAGGCTTCAAAGTTGATATTCTAGTAGTGGTAGCACAAGTGCTCAGTTAAAAAGCTGTGAAGGAATTATGAAATACTTTAGATTAACAATGAAATATGTATCTGGACATTTGTGAACAGTGCATTTGCATTCAACATGATATCATCTCACTGTACACAGAGTCGCTATGAGCCTGTCTGCCAAGACACTGGTGATAAAGATTCATGTCATATAAAAAGAAAGAGAGCGTGCAAAACTAGCAATTACAGCAAATAAAACATTCATATAACTTTTCCACCCTGTAGTGAGACTGTACAACTGCTTGAGGTTAAGGCAAGAAGCACTGGATTGTTTGGATTAGTGGGAGGTAAAGCATTTGGTTGGATGTGCACAGATTAAAGGTGCTGTAAGCAATGTTAGCCATTCTGGAACTTCTGCATGAATTAATCTCTAAATTAGACTTGCACACACTTTCCATAACTCTTACCATTGTAACCAGAGATTAGCAGGAAAACAGTAGTACATCTCATTGTTGCCATGGTTGTTAAAATCTAAATCAGTGATCCTCAAATCTGGCTCGCGAGATCCACTTTCCTGCAGAGTTTAGCTCTAACCCTAATCAAACACACCTGAGTTTGCTAATCAATGTCTTCCGGATCGTTAGAAAATCACAGGAATAGTTGTTTGATTAGGGTTGGAGCTAAACTCTGCAGGAAAGTGGATCTCGCGAGCCAGA